AGTGATGAATCGTGCAGTCAGAAAAATGGTGTCAATTAATGTTAAAAATATAAGGTAACTTCTATCTGGCCTCCAATTCAGGTTAGAAACGGTAGTTTCTTCTCTTTTTTTTTTTTTTTCTGTTTTTTATAGTTTCTTCTCTTCTTAGTCTGATAATACCGGTAATGTTGATTCTTTCGTGGCTTTATATTGAAAGCCAGAATATTGTACAAGAAAAAAACCCACGGTTAAGAGCATATCAGTTGTTCCGAAGTTTTCACCCAGCTGCCTCAACAATATCTGATGTTTCCAAATGATCGGTACCACAAAGGTCTTTGCATTAGTAAGCATATTGCATTTCAGTAGTTAAAAGGATATGTGACATCGTATATCGACGGTGTACTTCGGCAATCACATAACTCGGAAAACGTGATTTTTCAGGAGAGAGAAAATACTCTCAACATTCCTCATCTTTGAAGGTATACCCTCTATAGAGGGAAAATAATTCTTGAAGACAGCAAGCATAAGATGCTTTATAAGACTCTATCATCATTTTGAATAATATTCTCGTCTGTCAGGAGAAATGGCCGAAAACCCGATTTATGTGTTTGTGGAATTACGGTCCAACTCTGAATTCCGAGATACATGGTTGGCAAATTACTGTTTCAAACCTATTCTTTGCCGATGTTGACTGATTAAAGACTCAACATAGAGTTTAACAGGATTGTATGCTCTAATTCGCCTCTTCAAAGGTTCAGTTAATCCCACAGCATAGATGGAACATCCTGCATTGCGAATAATATGGATTATCGGATGCAATAAAAATACTTAGATCTCATGGTTGTGCTGGTATAAAAATGAAAGGATGGAAAAGGAACCGGCAGCTCCAAAAGTATTATTCTTGATTAAATCCTCTTCATTGGCGTTCCCATTAGATCAAGCGCCTCCAAATACGCACGTATGCAACACTGATACCAAAAGTTTACTCCCCCTTCAGTTTTCCCAAAGAATCAACAGTAAAATCGCAAATTCCTCACACATGCAACATCTCCATTGAGCTTCGGGACAAAAACTTTCAAAGGGTTAATCGACCCCAAAGAATCGAATGAAAATATTTTCAGCCCCCCAAAATGAGCCTAAGGGGGGTTTGGAGGGGGGGGGGAGCCGGAGCCCCCCGTTTTTCGCGTTTTTCAAATAGGAAGGGTATGTTTTGACTTTAGATTCGGAATCTACGGCAAAAAATAAGAATATTATGCTCTTTGCATTTTTTCCCTAAACCCCCATTTTTTGGAGTTATAGGGCATTTTTGGGGCACTTTTCAATTCGATGCTGTAAGCGGCCAAAATATCCAAATTTCTAAATCTGAAAATCTCCTGAGAGGAGAGGTCAGTACCTTTTCGTTGATGTGCCATTTGACCCCTGTTGCTCCAAAATTTTGGGGGCCACGACCCCCCCCCCAAATTTTGGGGCTTTGGAGGGCCGTAAATCGAAAATTTCAAATAGCATGGCTATGTTTAGATTTCAGATTTGGATTCTACGCGAAAAATTACATAGAATTGATGTGGCGCATGGCCTGTTGTCTCAAACTTTTTTTTGCCCCGTATTTCCTCCAAAAATACACGGCTTCTTTTGGGGAAATGGGGTTCTTCAGTAATTTGGAGCAAACAGGTCATGCGCCCTATCAATTCTATGTAATTTTTCGCGTAGAATCCAAATTTGAAATCAAAACACAGCCTTGCTATTTGAAATTTTCGACTTACGCCCCTCCAAAGCCCCAACATTTTTGGGGGTCGTGGCCCCCAAAATTTCGGAGCAACAGGGGTCATATGACACATCAATAAAAAGGTATTGACCTCTCCTCTCAGGAGATTTTTAGATTTTGAAATTTGGATATATTGGCCGCTTACAGCATCGAATTGAAAAGTGCCCCAAAAACGCCCGAAAATGCCCTATAACTCCAAAAAATGGGGGTTTAGGGAAAAAGTGCAAAGAGCATAATGTTCTTATTTTTGCCGTAGATTCCGAATCCAAAGTCAAAACATACCCTTCCTATTTGAAAATTGCGAAAAACGGGGGGCTCCCCCCAAAAATCCCCCAAGGGCCCATTTGGGGGGCTGAAAATATTTTCATTCGATTCTTTGGGGTCGAATAACCCTGTGAAAGTTTTTGTCCCGAAGCTCAATTCTCCGCCGTTTTCGAGAAAAAGATAGTGGACGGGTGGTCTGGATCACCCTGTACATTCAAGGCTTAAAAAAAGTTAGACAAAGTTCGCAAAAGGTCCTGGTTTATTTATCTAACGATTTGATACCCTGACTACCTCCAAGTTACACGTCATCATACTGACAGTTTCAATGTTTGGCACGTTGAAAAAAAGGTTTAGAATTATTCCAATCTCCTGAGGAATGTTTCGTGGTTTATGAGACCTGCTTCTACGCAAAAAACCAAACATTGAGAGAAAATATTATATTTGAAAGTTTTGAGCAACTAGTTACACGTCTTTCCCATATTTTATCCCATTAGCTGAAATCCACCCATATATGTATGGAGTTTGGCTCAGAGAAATGGGCCAAAGCAGTGTTCACTGATGGTATTTATTCTTATAGTGAAAATATTGAAATAGAACCGGGTCTGGAAATCAAACGGTTACAAGAAGGTGAAATCTACAAATACCTTGGTGTGGATGAGAGCGACAACATAGCGCACTGTAAAATGAAGGATAGACTCCGGAAAGAATATCTGAGGAGAGTGCGGCAGTTCTGTAAACCGAGCTATCGGCCAACAATAAGATGACCGCGATTGGTACGTTTGCTCCTCCAGTATTGAAGTAAAGCTTCGGTATAGTGGAATGGTCCAAAAAAGATATAAGAGCCATTGACACGAAAACACGGAAAGCGCTGATCACTCATAAGCTGCATCTCCCACCAGCGGACGTTTACAGACTCTACGTGACAAGGAAAAAAGGAGGGAGAGGCGTTAGGCAAGTAGAAACTGCGTTCAAGTCCTGCCTGATGAATATGAAACATTATTTAGAAGAGAAAGCAGCAGAAGATCCTTACATCAGGATGGTGTTGGGAAAAGATCGAAAAGCCCCAGCCAAAGGGGCCATTGGAAAACAGGCCGACAATCACTCTGCAGAGGAGAATGTTGTCCACACAGCGGTTATTGCACCAGAAAAGAGGACCAAGGAGGCTAAGAAATAGATCAGCCGCAACTTTGAAGAGAAATGGAAGCAGAAGCCAATGCACGGACAATATCCCAAAACGATTGCAAAGAGAGAAATAGATACAGCTAAGTCAGTATTATGGCTAACAAACGGACACCTGAAAGGGGAGACAAGAAGCCTAATAGTAGCAGCTCAAGATCAAGCCCTGGCAACACGGTATCGTAGTGTCAAAATCTATAAAATCCTCGGCACAACAAAGTGCAGGATGTGCGGCCGCTACGATGAAATGATTGACCACGTTGTTTCGGTATGCCCCTAACTGGCGAAGCAAGAAAACACTACCAGGCAAACATTAGACGGGAGCATTAGGATATTATGGAAGATGTAGGTGCGAACCGACCCAGAGGTGAAAGCAAATTGGCCTGACATAATCGCGAAGCAGCGAGATGGACCCTGCCCTTTAATTGACGTCTCTATTCCCATGAACTGCAACGTGGTGCAGAAGGAAGCCGAAAAGCGCTTAAAGCACAAAAGCCTTGAGCTTGAGATAGGAGTACAAAGGATGTGGAGGTGCAAGACCAAGACTGTGCCAGTTGTCGAAGGAGCAACCGGTGTGATATCAAATGCGTCGGCAGGCTTCATCAAGGGAATACCTGGCAGGATCTCAATTGCAAGCATCCAGAAAACAGCAGTATTGGGTACAGCGGCAATCCTCAGAAAAGTGCTGACTTGAGTGCGAAGTGTACATTGTTATTTTTTATAGTTATAGATCCTATATTATCGTAGTTTGTATCATACAATTATCATTAAGCTCATTAAGTAAGTTCGAAACAGTGTAAACCAGAAGAAAGGTAGCCTTAGTAGTATTATTAGTATTTGTATTGACTTATTATTTTATTAATTTTTTTCTTCTTTTTATATGTAGTAACTCATCAGTGATTGGAGCAACGCCTCCAACCACCTGGGTTATTATTCCCCCACCGCTACCACTCAGTGGCGTGTAAATATGTAAAACGTGTACATATATCTGTTTGACTTACTACCCCTCTCTCCACTCATTAAGCGTTCTTCCCCCTCCCCCACCCCTTGATGCTAAGGCCTATTGTTTAGGCCCGCGATAAGGTGTACCTGATTTGTACCTTAATATAAAAATTAAGTGAATAAAGGAGGAATATGAATAATAATAATTGGAATGTGGCAGAATTCTTCCATCAAGGAGGTGAGAGTCAATGAGCACCTGGTTAACACCTTCGTTGATCGGCTGAGTGCGAAATTTAAGACGCCTCTAAACTCGAAACATATGACCAAGGCAATCAACACCTTCGCCATTCCTGCGTTAGCCTACTCATTTGGCGTTGTCCCGTGGTCTGACACGGAGCTTGAGGGGCTTAATAGGAAAGTCAGAACCTTGCTGACGAAGTGGACTAAGCATCACCCAAGAGCTGCGAAGGAGAGAACACACATCCTTTGTAACCGTGTCAACCATCAACTAAGCCACACTAAAACTACCGCTGAGTTGATGCTCATCCTTCAAAAAATATACTCCTTGCGCGGTGGATGCGCGGGTCCCTTAGAAGGAAGCAAATCAACCAAACCTTTGTAACCACTTTCTAAACGGGCGCAAAGCGTACATTCGGGAGAGAGAAATCCCCCTTCAAATTAAAAGGCGCTCCGCACCGGTTTCTTTTCTTGGGGGGGGGGGGGGGAGAGAGAAAGCAATGAACTCTCCTAGTTTGAGATATTCTTTTTGTTCTTGCGTTTAAATTATTTGTAGAGATGTAGAGGTGAACGAGATGAAAATTAATTTGGTATTCAATATTTGCCTGCTTATCAATCTGTTTATTCTGTTTGTTTTTAGCACTCTAGTTCCTTGGAAAATTTTCAGACAAGCTCTGAATGAAGTCCACTCAATTACCTCAGGTTTAGAAGCAATGGCCCTAAAATCAACAATAGATCTTACATGCAATGATTATATTTCAAATTTTGAATTCGACGTCTTCACACGGTAAGCTCAAAATTAATCATTATTATCCCATGAACCTTATCTCAAAACGCATCTCCACTTACCTCGTCCATAAATAGAACAATGGTTAAAAGGATAAAAAATATGCTGCATGAAAAACAAATAATTTTCTAAAGTCAGAAGAAATGCACACGGACTGTCCTTAAGTTCTCTCAAAGTATATATCGATGGTGAAACTACCAAACCGCGATCTCGATTTTTGTTGGGGTTAAGTTAGCTGTATGAATGAGTTGTAGATGTCCTTCATCGGCTATTAAAATATTTTTGTAGAAAAAAATCGGGAAGTTACCCAAATTTAGTTAAAATATCACATATCTCAGTGCTAATTCGTAATTCATTTGTCTCGTGTGGTCACAAAGTTATCGTACTCAGGAGAAATACGAGCATATAGCCAAGACAAATGGAAAGGTTTATCTGGTTCAGGTATATCAAGATGGGATTTTTCTTGAAAGATAAATAAGTAAGTCCTGTTGTTCGGGACAGGTGCAGAGAGTTTTAGTGAATCTTTTCTCAAATGGAATTGGTGCTCCCCAATTTTTAACAAAAATCTCAATTATATACTTTTCTCTGTAGGACCAAACGGAAGAAACAAGTCAACCCGTATTCCTCCAAGACATACATTTTCATCCAAAAACATCGGATGAGCAAAAATATCAAAAATATGGCACCTCCTCCCCCCTTCTACCCTGTTCATGCCATAACAAACAGCATCAATCGCGCTCATCCACGCGCTTGGCTGGAAAATAATGCGCTTTTGACTCCTTTGCACTAAGTCTCTCTACTTTTAGAAGACTTTTTTAATGTAGTTCATCCATGAATGTAAAGCATACACTAGATGCTCTGCTGAAGGCCACAGTCGAGATGAGGAAGGCAGCCACGGGCCACAGAACCACTTGAGGGAGTGACAAGTAGGTGTGTGACAGACGTTAAATGCGGACAAGAGGTGTCATGGATGTCGCATACGCTTGTATTCGAAGGCGACTTGTCCACCAGGAAAAGGGAAGAATCCCGTACACTCCTTATGGGAAAGTGCACCACGATCGATTTTTAATTTTTTTACTGCATTTAATTCATCTCAAGATGCTGATTAAAAGTGATCATTCCACCAACTTTCTACGATGCACCGTTTTCGTTCAATACGCCCGGAACGCCTCAATTATTCGACAATAAAGGGTTAAAAGTAACAAGGCATTCGAGAACAAGTCTGATGTGAATAAGGAAAAACGTAGCGAGTGTGTCTTCTTATCTATTTCTGCCTACTCTGGGGCTATCACTCTCCCGCTCTCGTCCGGTTGACGTTCACTGTTTTTCTCCGACTTTCCTGTTCTTATGCTCATCACAAATCTGATTTGGATGGTCAAGCAAAAAAGCGTGCAGAATCCGAGATAAGACTGCCGCTCAATGCTGGAGTTCCCCTGATTTCCTTGTTGACACACCGTCAATCGTTCACTCGAGTGCTGAAATGAGGAACCTTTCTGACTCTTTATCGCCGAATAATTGAAGCGTTCCGGGCGTATTGTGCAAAAACGGTACATCGTAGAAAGTTGGTGCAATGATAACTTTTGGTCAGCATCTTGGGATGAATTGAATGCAATATAAAAATTAAAAATCAATCGTGGTGCACATTCCCATAAGGAGTGTGCGGGGTCCTCTACCTTTTTTATTAATAGAGGTATTAGGTTAATCAGTCATGGCGTTTACAAGTATTGTGATTAATAAAGACATGATGACTGGTCCAGCTGTAGGATCAATAGAAGCTTAAAAGCATTAATTTAAGCACACTGTTCAATATGACTCTACGCTAAGCCTAAAATCGATCAAAATCTTCAAGTAACAGGCTCAAAACCTTAATTCGAAAATTACATGTCTCGAGGTAATAATGTTGGTTTCTAATTTGCAAAACAAATAACTCGGTTTTTCCTCTGTATTTCCTGTTTATTGGGGCTATTTTCTAAAATGCTTAAGGGGTAGTGAAAAGCATCTGATCAGTTCTATTTTCAAGAAATATTACCTTCTAACGATCATCAATAAAAAACGAAGACAGTTTTTCCTGAAAACTCAGGTTTTCCGAGTTACGTTGCATGTAGTTTCACCATCGATAGCGATACATACAACAGGACAAGGTATCCATAAAGTCCTCTTGCCCTCCTCTAATTTTTCATCTTATTTAAGTAAAAATTTGAAACTTGGAAGATGTTCTTAGGCCAAAGGGAGCTACTTTTTGACCCCCCAAAAATTTGCTAAGGGGCCCGATCAGGGGGAGGACCCAACGAAACCAACTTTTCTCCCCAAATGGAAAGACTTCCCTTTTAATACCTTGTTCGAAAGAGCGAAATAACATCTGTTTTTTGCGCAAACCGTAAGTCATTATCTCAAACCGTTTCAAAATGGCGGCCGGTTTAAGTTCAAAGTAGCCAAAAATTATTTTTTTTCTTTAAAAAAGAAATAACCTTGTTGTCAATTTTCGGCCATTTTGACCTTTAACCGGCTGCCACTTTGAAACGGTTTGAGATAATGACTTCGGGTTTAAGCAAAATAGTTTCTTTTCATATCTTCTTTCAAACAAGGTACCAAGGGGGGGGGGGGTTGCGAGCGTGGCGTGCAGAGACGCGTTTTCCCGTCATTTCGCGAATTTTTCCCCCCTTTTGAATGTCGCTACGGCTTTGAAATTTTTGGAGGTAACACACTTTTTAGAGGACTTAACGGGAAAAATAACCCAATTATCCTCGCCCATTTTAAAATTCTCTTTCCCTGAAAGTGGCCTTGGGTCGTGAAATTTTGCCGATTTTCCCCAACAATCTCCCCGCACGGTGTGTCTTTTTTCTACCTTTAAATTGTTGTTACGGCTTTGACATTTTCTGGAGTAGCACAGTTTTTGAAGTACTTTACGAGAAAAATAACAAGATTTACCGTGTTCTTTTTGAAATGCCCCCTTCTTCCCTCCAAAGTGGCCACATCGCACGATTTCGTCGATTGTTCGTAACATTCTCCCAGCACGGTTTGCCGGAACGAGTTTAAATTTTTTGCAGAGTCAAAAGCAAAAATTCTTCAGATTCTAGAAGTGAAGCGTCCGCCAAGTCATTTGAGCCAAAAGGAGAACGATTTTGTTCAGCTACTGGAAATCAAATCGATTTAAATGTATATCAGGGCTAACATAGGCAAATTACCGGTATAAAGGTCCGTTATACGAGGGGCGTTCAATAAGTAAGTATCCCGCCTCTCTAAAAGCAATAAAAATGGACCAATTTTAAAAAAAACTTGGGCTCAAAATCTTCCTTAGAATATACTGAGTTCAGTGAGTTCAACAAAACAAACCGCAACAAAATCGGACTATACAGGGTGAGCGAAAAGTCCCCGACCCCCCCTCTAACTTTTGAACGAATTGAGGTAGGGAAGTGAAACTTTGGGAATGTTCCTATCTCAAAAGGGACCATCTTTTGAGGGGGTCAAAATTTTGGTCCCCCCCTCAGGGGGGGACAGGGGCCCCCCAACTTTTTTTTTCAAATAGCAACCCCTATCTTGTGATACCTCATTCGAAAGAACATAATAAACTAAGAATTTTGGCGCAAACCGCAGATCAATATCTCAATTTTTGACCGAGTTATGACAGGTCAAAGGTCAAATTTGACCTATTTTCAAAAAATCATAACTCCGGTTCAAATTATCGTAAAGAAACAATAAAACGGGGAAATTTACCAAATTGTGTTCGCTTTTACGTAAAAATTGCAGAAATCACTTCGATTTAATTTTAAGGCGGGGCTCGGACCCCCAAATACGTCAATTCAAAGGTCATTCAATTTTCCCGCGAAATAAGCTAATTTCCTCTGGATTTGCCTCCACATTATCTCAGTAAGGTCAAAATCAGTTCAACATTACGTTGGCAAGTCCCCAAATTTCGGGAAAAGTTAAAAAAACGAAATTTAAGGTGATTAAAGGACTACGTGCAAAACGGGCCATTTGGGGCTCGGGGCGGATACCTTTGAGACTTGTCCTATTCATTCACCTAACAATGCCCCATCTTTTCCCAAAGTTTCAAGCCCCTCAAAAATTTTGGGGAGACGCGGCGGGGGGTCAAAGTTAAAAACCGGCAAAATTTTCGCGAATTTTTTACTCGAAAACCAAGAAGTTTTGGAAAACGCGGTTTAAACGAGCGTATTCAGCGTGACGAGAGCTTTCAGGAAATGTATAACATCACAGGGTTTTGTCAACTTCAGCTTGAGTTATCGCCTCCGAAGCGCCGGAACGCTAAAAAAAGACCCCTTATTTTTTCACGTTTGGGCCGATTTAAAAAAAGCCATTTTTTTATTTTGATGAAAAACTGATATGTTGTTCCTGACTCTCTGTAGCCCCTCTGGATCTTTACCGCATGCCGGGGAAATGTTTTGGTCGCGAGTTATAAGAGCGGAAAGGAGCGAAGGTCGGAGAAATCGGCTATTTTAAACTGCGCGCGCGGCGTTGATCGGAGGGAAAACGTCCCCTCCCACTCAGTTCGGCGAATCACACTCCTCTGCCGACCTCGCATTGTTGCCACATGTCTCCTGATCCGTCGCCGCGCGCAGTTTAAAATAGCCGATTTTCCCGACCTTCGCTCCTTTCCGCTCTTATAACTCGCGACCAAAACATTTCCCCAGCATGCGGTAAAGATCCAGAGGGGCTACAGAGAGTCAGGAACAACATATCAGTTTTTCATCAAAATAAAAAAATGGCTTTTTTTAAATCGGCCCAAACGTGAAAAAATAAGGGGTCTTTTTTTAGCGTTCCGGTGCTTCGGAGGCGATAACTCAAGCTGAAGTTGACAAAACCCTGTGATGTTATACATTTTCTGAAAGCTCTCGTCACGCTGAATACGCTCGTTTAAACCGCGTTTTCCAAAACTTCTTGGTTTTCGAGTAAAAAATTCGCGAAAATTTTGCCGGTTTTTAACTTTGACCCCCCGCCGCGTCTCCTCAAAATTTTTGAGGGGCTTGAAACTTTGGGAAAAGATGGGGCATTGTTAGGTGAATGAATAGGACAAGTCTCAAAGGTATCCGCCCCGAGCCCCAAATGGCCCGTTTTGCACGTAGTCCTTTAATCACCTTAAATTTCGTTTTTCTAACTTTTCCTGAAATTTGGGGACTTGCCAACGTAATGTTGAACTGATTTTGACCTTACTGAGATAATGTGGAGGCAAATCCAGAGGAAATTGGCTTATTTTGCGGGAAAATTGAATGACCTTTGAATTGACGTATTTGGGGGTCCGAGCCCCCCTTAAAATTAAATCGAAGTGATTTCTGCAATTTTTACGTAAAAGCGAACACAATTTGGTAAATTTCCCCGTTTTATTGTTTCTTTACGATAATTTGAACCGGAGTTATGATTTTTTGAAAATAGGTCAAATTTGACCTTTGACCTGTCATAACTCGGTCAAAAATTGAGATATTGATCTGCGGTTTGCGCCAAAATTCTTAGTTTATTATGTTCTTTCGAATGAGGTATCACAAGATAGGGGTTGCTATTTGAAAAAAAAAGTTGGGGGGCCCCTTTCCCCCATTGAGGGGGGGGGGCCAAAATTTTGACCCCCTCAAAAGATGGTCCCTTTTGAGATAGGAACATTCCCAAAGTTTCACTTCCCTACCTCAATTCGTTCAAAAGTTAGAGGGGGGGTCGGGGACTTTTCGCTCACCCTGTATGCGGCCGAACGCGAGCCGTTTGAACGCGCCGTGGCGCTCGACGCTCCCGCCGAATCCGCGGGGATTTGAAGTCCGCGACAGAAGAAGAGCTTCTCTGCCAAAGCCTCAGTCGTTCATCACTGACGAAAAATCAAATAAGTTTTTGTTGAATAAGGGACTTACCTCACTTCTCCACATAACCAGCTCGATCCAAGCAGGTCTGATACTGAGACTAAGAGAATAGCTTTTGGATGCCACGCGCGTAGAAGTCTTTCAGCTGACCGGGGACGAAAGAGTGGACGGCTTGTTTGACCTCTTCCACTGATTCAGAATTAACTCCTCCGAGTTCATATTTGAGATACGATACTAAATGGCAAACCGGACCACCATTCATTCCCGTTTCTGAAATCTGAACTCGAGGGAGTTAATTTTGAATCAGTTGAAGAGGTCAAACAAGCCGTCCACTCTTTCATCCCCGGTCAGCTGAAAGACTTCTACGCGCGTGGCATCCAAAAGCTATTCTCTTAGTCTCAGTATCAGACCTGCTTGGATCGAGCTGGTTATGTGGAGAAGTGAGGTAAGTCCCTTATTCAACAAAAACTTATTTGATTTTTCGTCAGTGATGAACGACTGAGGCTTTGGCAGAGAAGCTCTTCTTCTGTCGCGGACTTCAAATCCCCGCGGATTCGGCGGGAGCGTCGAGCGCCACGGCGCGTTCAAACGGCTCGCGTTCGGCCGCATATAGTCCGATTTTGTTGCGGTTTGTTTTGTTGAACTCAGTATATTCTAAGGAAGATTTTGAGCCCAAGTTTTTTTTTAAAATTGGTCCATTTTTATTGATTTTAGAGAGGCGGGATACTTACTTATTGAACGCCCCTCGTATCATTGAAAGGAAATTCCATGATAGTTATAATGCCTGTAGGTTTCTTAGATATGGTTGTTCAAAGTACTCGAACACTAATACCGCCGATTTTAGGCATATGGTGAATTTTTGAGGCCTAAAACTACCCCTCAGAGTTGAAAATTGCTCAAATTTTCCATGAAGCTCTCCAAAAGATGACCGGCTTTTTGGGCAGTCGACTCGGCCGTGGAACGGAGTTTGAAATTTAAGCTTTTAATGACCTAAAGCTCTGAGAAAAATTTCAAGATAAGCGTAGGGACGGTTTCCGAGTTACCGCCGGGAGGGGGGGGGGGCAATCGGACCAAAATCCCCTCTAATATTCGCCGTTTTTTTGTTGAATTGATGTTGCCATGGGCTTCTGGTTGTTTTGCAAATGTGTTCAGCATATCGATGCTTTATTTATTTTTACACGCACAATTGAAATTTTACGTCGAGAAGTCTGTTTCGATTCGTCATACTGATTTTTCCGATCTTACAAGGATTATTATCCCTTACGTGAATTGATAATAGCGAATTTTAATCCCAGAAAACCACCGATGTTCAGTTCGCTGAACTTTTTACTCTTTTAACAAAACTGAACGTATCCTCACTAATAAAATGTAAACATATTAACATTGTAAAAGCATAAATTATACGAGCAACAAAAACTACTAACTCGTCAGCAAGCTGCAAAACCCTAGACAGCATTGAAATGCTGTAATGAACATGACGGTAGGTATGAATTTAGAGAGGGATCCTACTTTGCTATTGCTACTGAACAACTCTCAGGAGTCTCAGGATGGTAACAAGGAAAACCTGAATAAAATTGTTAATTGAGAGCCAAAAGGTCAAAATTAATTGAATTTTATGAAACGACGTATGAAATCCTTTTTTTTGCACAATTTCTTTAAAATTTCCGACAGTGTTTGTGGGACATCCTTCGTATCTCTACCACTGTTCATAAAAATCTGCACATATCCTGCGGACCCCAAAAAAACCGGAATTTTTCGGTAACTCACCAACAGTTCTAAGTTGTTTGAAAGAGAGTGAGGTAGACCAAGTTGATGCATAGAGTTCCTTTCAAAGTTGCGTTCAAAGTTCAAAGTCCTCCGTTCAAAGCTTCTTGCTCTTTTGGCAAGAGGTGTAATTAAGAGGTTATGTAGAGCTATGCAAGGTCAAACAAATTGCCATCTTGGAGTTCTTTTTTATTTCGTCTCTAGGAGACATCGTTTGAGCGGTATGGCGTTCATAAAATCAGTATTTTTTAGATACTTCATTCTAAGTTGGTAAACAAAAATTGCCCCGACGCAAATATTTTGTTAATGACACAGGTGTGCGCGGTTTCCAATGATAAACTCACTTAGTAACCTGAAGTCAAGTCTTCAAGTTCTTTACTTCTCTGGCCCTTTCATTAGAAGTCACGCAGTATATTTAGAGGGATCTTTTAAAGTCTCACGAAAGGCTCCCGAAGATTGGTGTGCTGAAATGCTCCTAACTAAAGAGGTACAACCATTTTAACCATGGAAGAGATCTGAAAATCGAGATTTTGGGGAATTCTGAACCCTGATTCTAATTGCCTCTCCTCAAAACCCAAGAAACCCTTACAGAGAAATTTTTGAACAAAATCCTAGGCATGGAAAGGTGAGTCTAATCTGAATTTTTTTTAGGAATCGTTAGTTGATAATTGGAATACTTTTTTATGGTGAGAATGATTGAGACTTGACTAAACTGTGCCAAAAAGTTCTCATTCTCTGAAATTCATGGGTGAGCTTATAATTTGCATTTCCTCTGAATTCACAGTTTTTTGTTAATTTTTCGTCGTAATGAGTCAGTTGCGCTGGTCACAGAATCTGGTTTTGATGTTTGATTTTTGTAGATTAGCTCAAAATAATAAGATCTGTCCAAACAGTAACTTTCTACGTTCAGTATTAGCCGGAATATCGCCGTTTGAATAGTCAGGTTCTTAACGACATCCACCGCAGTAGTGACACCCTTGGTTTCTTCAACTTTGCTTTCATCAGTCAGGGTGACGCACATTTGCACCAGTTACGTGACGTAAAACTCGGATGAAAGCAAAGTTGAAGAAACCAAGGATGTCACCACCGCGGTGGATGTTGTTATGAACCCGACTATTCAAAGGGCGATATTTTGGCTAATATTGAACGTAGAAAGTTACTGTTTGGACAGATCTCACTATTTTGAGCCAATCTACAAAAATCAAGCATCAAAACCAGATTCTGTGACCAGCGCAACTGACTCATTACGACGAAAAATTAACAAAAACCGGAGAATTCAGAGGAAATGTAAATCATAGGCTCACCTTAGAATTTCAGAGAATGAAAACTTTTCGGTGCTGTTTAGACAAAATGTAAGCTCCCTCTAAATATGCTGCGTAATTTCTAATGAAAGGGCCAGAGGAGTAAAGAATTCGAAGACTTAACTTCAGGTTACAGAGTGAGTTTATCATTGGAAACCGCGTACTCGTACACCTTTGCAAGGCGGACGTGTGTCATGAGGAAGTACAAAATAATTCGATGTTTTCAATACTTTCATCTCTTAAACACAAATTTGTTTTAGGTTATTCCAACCGTGGACATCTCTACTGAGAAATTGGCAAATTTTAGCTGTAACACATCCAGGTTACGTAGCATTTCTTACTTACGATGAAGTCAAAGCAAGGTTGCAGAAGTATATTAATAAGCCAGGAAGGTAAGGCTGTTCATTTTTCATCTCAATGTCCTACCGTATGTATGTATATATGGGTGGATTTCAGGTAATGGGAGAAAATGGTTCTGAAAAAAAGTTGAAAAGTGATTTGGCCATATCAAGCAAAGACTACTTTTCTGTAATCTTAGAGCTCCAGACTGTAGCATTTAATTACGTATATCGCAATATCTTTACGATTATTTTTCTTTACCAAGCCTGACATGTCAGTTTGGTTTGGACATGTCAGTTAAACTGACATTTTCTCGTTATTAATTTTTTCTGCCAATTTACAGTAACAAAATCAAACGAATCTTTGAAGTTAGGTCGAAAGGCCACCTAAAAATGTAAGAAAAAAATATTTATATAATATTTGCTCACATGTTCCACCAAAAATTTTGATGGGAAACAGCGTCATCAAACTGACATTGACTAAGTGAGACACTCCAAAAACCATGGAAAAAACTGAAATCATGCTGAATTTGGGTGGACTTATCATGCACACATCTGTTCGTTATCCTTTTCCGCACTCAGTCATGCCTTAATCAGCACACCAGCGCTATCTCTTGAGTGGCCACAAACTAAAACGCATAGCATCACCAAACTGACACAATATTGAGTTTCACGCTTCAAGTCTCGAAATAAATTGAATAATATAGTTTTCTGGTGTTTCAATGCATATTATATCAAACCATATACATTCAAGACTTAAAAAAAAATTACACAAAGCTCGCAAAAGGTCCTGGTTTATTTATATAACGATTTGATACATGGACTACCTCCGAGTTACACGTCACCAAACTAACATTTTCACTGTTTAGGACATTGAAAAAAAGGTTTAGAGTTATTCAAATCTCCGGAGGAATTTTTTCGTGGTTGGTGTGACCTGCTTCTACGCAAAAAACCAAACATCGAGAGAAAATATTAAAATTGAAAGTTTTGAGCAACCAGTTACACGTTTTTCCCATATTTTATCCCATTAGCTGAAATCCACCCATATATGTATATAAATAAGTCGCTTTATAGCACTCCCTGGCGCTCTACGACACCCAACCTTCACTGCCCTTTGTCGAACCACAACCCTTTGGGCATCGAGAATCTTAACATTTCTGCTTGAATCCCATCCCTGCGACCTCTCATTTGGAGCCCTCTGCGCCTTCATCCAGGAGGAACCCAATCAAAGACCTGCTTTAGCCATCTGTCTCCTGCCATTCTCTGAACATAACCATACCAAAAAAGTTATTTTTTGTTAATGGTCTATTTGGCATCCATGATCTCTGGTAGCGTCTCATTCCTGATGCAATCCTTTCTGGAAATACCAGCGCATCTGCGCCAGAAGTTCATCTCTGTTGCCTCTAGAACCTTCTTGGTCCGCTGTTTCTTCGCTCATACCTTACACCCTTCAAGTTACTATACTCTTGACAATCGTGATATTCCTTCTTTTGTTCTCTTTGTAGATATTGGAGACTCTTTGCTCCCAAATAGCTTCATTTAACATGGCGAATGCTCTCCAACCCTGCATATCGATGATGAAAGTGCAGAAGTGCGTATCGCGGAAAACACGATTTTCCAGGAGAGTAAAAAAACTGTCTACATTCCTCCTTATTGTCAGTAGAAGGGTAATATTTCTTGAGGATAGCAAGAATAATATGCTTTTTAGACTCCATCAGCATATTGAATATTTGCTCGAACTGCTAGTTAATATGGTAGAAATGCCGAGATTCGCTATTTCGGCACTAAGAATTGACACTTTATCACGAGATACGCATTTATGCCATTAGTATTTTAAACCTGTGGTTGGCGGCTTTTGATCATTTAAAAACTAAAAGAGAGTTTCACGCTTACAATCCCTTATCAGAAGTTTTAGTTTGATCTCATACAGCCGGATCAAGCATTGTATGATTGGAGAATGATATTATATGTAGATATCGAGATACACATTTCTGCAATTAGCCGTTTGAACCTGCCCGTGATCATTAAGATCAAAAATACAGTTTATTCATGCGTAAAACTTGTTTAGAAGCTTTTTAGTAGGTGCAATATGGTGAATGAAGCATGGTATGACTCGATTGACTCTAATACAACCGACTGTTATGATTGACCGTCAGTTCATAATTGCATTGGCCCAGAGAGCGAATAATGGACACAAACGTCGCGAGCCGCTGGTAATAGGTACCCATGAGGAAATGATACTGAAGGGCCTTTGAGTGATGAGCATTTAACAACTTTTCAAAACCAGTGAATTCCTGAAAATAAATAAAAACACAGAACGGCTAATCATCTGATGTATGCGCTTTTGGCGGAAAACGCTGAGGAGCGCATGGTGTGTGTAAGGCGCGCCGGATCAAATGAAGGGGCCAGAACGAGATACCTATTTCTGCTCTTCAGCCCGAGATACGGGAAAAAAGTTCTACTGTGTTAGGTGACTACCTGATTTTTTTCGATTATAATCTCTTACTGGCAGATAGACGACATCTTCAATAACACGCTTATGGAGCTAACTCAAAACTGTCAAAAATCGAGGTACGCACTTTTGCACTTTCACCATCGATATTTCTGTCATTGGTGGCAGGTGCAATCTTCTGTCGTGGGTCAGAAGAACTCCAAGATATTTGTAAACATTGCAGCTTCCAATTTGCCGCCTATTGTCTAGTTTTATGCTTTGCTGATTCCTGCCAACGGTCAACTTCTCTGTTTTTCTCACATTTACCTCAAGGCCCCATTTTCGATACTCAGCCACCAACTTTCGAGTCACGTAGATCTTGGGCGAGAATTACTTGGTCATCAGCAAAGCATAATGTAAAAAGTGCTTCTTCATCTTTCAAAGGGATACTCATTCCAGAACATTTTCTCTTTCAAATATGCAGCGCATTATTCTACAGCTAATATCCTATGTATCACTGCTTTTCCTAATCCAGACGAGTTTTGTTCGAACTGCAAATTGTTTCTGTTTTTTTTTTTTTTTTGGCTTGTTTCTTTTACGCGATTCTGAACAGCCAATGAGAAAGCAACTTCGAATTTTAGGTCAGAAAACTGCATTGTCTTGGGCAACAACATAAAAACGACTTGCTCTGAACACGTTGCAGTTGTTGCACACCAATGTTGCTTCAGTTGTTCCCAAGTTGTGTGGGTGAAAATCAGCCCTACCCCCTCAACACAAAACAACTTTGAAAAAAATGCGATCGTTGCTTGTTCTCACAACATGTTTCGAGTGTGTCCGAACAAAATACAAGTTCTCCTAATGTTCTTTTCCTCTCCTTACACATTTTCACCAAATGGAAAGTTCCAAGAAGCAAAATAGATACCTGGAAACATCACTAAAAGAATGGAGAATTTTTTGCTGCCGGGAAATTCTTGGAAAAATCTGGCAATACACTTTAAGCTGGTATTACAGCTCAGAACTTGCGGTCTTCGATTCAAGAGAGACAAACAGCTCTCGCCTTTAAGAGGTATTTTTTGGCCGCCATCTTAGATTTGGCCGTATCATGACCTCCAAGACAACGTTTGTTTTAATTTTGATTCTCTGATGATAAAAACAAGGAAAACAACTCTTGAGCAACTTACTGGGAGACCACTAATTCTCTCACTCCAAAACTGCCGTTTTGACCAACATCATAAATCGGAGGAGGCTGGGAAGTTTGCATAAAATTTTGGGTGTCTACCGTCAATTTTCTTTTTCTAGACATCAAAACGACAGGATTACCACATATTTCACATTATCGCAACAAAAATGCTCCGATAATTTATGTTTTGTTACACATGCACCTAAAATATCACATCTGTCCTTTTATTGTGCCTAAATCTCTGTTCTCTTGAAAATCTCATCGATACTACCCTTCTATGATAATAGAATTAATTTTTTAAAATTTTATGGTTACCTTTTTAATTTTTATTTTTATTGTTTTTTTTATTTTTATTTTTATTTTTTTTGAAGCTATGTTTTTAGGTTAAGTTGTACGCGCTTGGGACAATGGGCTATTGGTTATGTCACTGCAGATGGTGACATTCTTCAAACCATTCCACAAAATAAATCTCTATGTCAAGCTCTGTTAGATGGTTATCGAGAAGGCTTGTAAGTATCTCCAAATTGGCAAATAACATGTATCATGGTCACTGACGTACCTTATAGATTTTGAGCCTTTCTCGGTGGACTGAACATAATAGATCTGAACATCAGTATTGCTTCTCAGGAATTAATTTAATGCTAAGCGAGCAAATTTCTTTCCTAGACCTGCCCACCGAAATTTTTACATGGGGATCCATATTTGAAATACATCGATTTCACTTTTTTCTCTCAAATTTTTGTGAACAAACATACATAAATTATCCAGTACCTAGGGTTGTGCGAATAGTGAATTTTCCGAACAAAGCGAATAGCGAATAGTTTTGGCAACTATTCGCGAGTAGCGAATAATTTAAGTCAATTATTCACAGCTACGAATAGTAAAACGAATAATTTGAAATGACTTTTTTAAGTGTGAAAATTCGTAAGTATTACAAAAGGTACTCTTGGAGCAACCAAGATATGCGGGCCAGTCGCAATTGCGCTCGCTGTTCGTAAATTCGGCTAAGTCTGTTAAGATCAAAGGAGATCCGCCGTTCGCGATGTCTTGGATGGAAGTGGAAGCCTTGCGCAGGTCCTCACAACGTTTCACGATTGCCACTCGGAAATTCGTTATTTTTGATGGCGCAAATATTTGAAAATTCGTTCCTCGTGACGACGCCAATATTTGAAAATGTCAGTTCAAAAATTCACTATTCGCGACGGCGCGATTATTCGCAATTTGCGAATAGTGCGCGAGGCAGACCAAGCGAATATTCGGCGAATATTCGCGGCGCGAATAGTCGGAATTGCGAATATTTGCACAGCCCTACTAGTACCAAATTGAAACGAATATTTCAACTTATTACTGCTGTAGAGTTCATATCGTGATCACTACAATATGTACTACATCTGTAAATCTTTCTGGATCATCTCCTTTTTTTAAATAATTGTCACATGATTTGCCCATGCATTTGGGAGACCTGTATTTGAAATACTTCGGTTTTCTAGTCAATTGTTTCTTCTTACTCAAGAGAATCTCTTCCATACTTTGTAGACTTTCTCTTTGCATTCCATTTATTTTTGCATTACTGCCAAGAAACTGGAATGAAGTTTTTAAAAAATAGAATGTAAGTATGTGAATGAATGAAACATCATTATTAGGCAAAGAGAAATGTTGCAATGTTATATTATTTTTTCTTTCCTTCTTTTTACAAAAAGCATTACTCAATAGGGAAAAAAATGTATGGATTGAAGATTTATTTTGGTAATTTTGGCGATTTGGGCCAGTCTCTTCATGACTAAGTTAATAAGAACTTATAAATCATAATATTAAAGGCACCTTTTTCAAATTTTAGCACCCATCATTTCATAGTTTTTTCCTATCACTCTAATAAGCACCGGAAACTGAATGATATCATGAATTATTGCGGTCTAGGAATAAACTTTTAAGTAAAGTCTTAAGGAAAATACTTGATGACAAAAAATTCTTAATAAATATATAAATAAAAAATTTGTTATGGCTGACATCTATAAAAAATGTAGTTTTTAAACAAAGTTTAAGCTATTAATTTTTTAAGTACGGATACTCTTTATAAGACCGGTTTTTATCTTTCTCCGTTGTATGGAAAAGATCCCTACCTTAAAAATAATGGCTTATATCTCGGTTAAAAACTGTGTTTTTTATATTTATGAACTTGTAACTCATGCTTTGGACAAGCGTTGTTTTTTGGAAAAAGTTAGTGTCTGAGATCCTGCTCTGTCACAATGCTATAAAAAGATGAGTATTAGCAAAGCAAGTATGAAGAACACAAGTTTAGATTTATATGGCACGTGTGAAAGATGGTAACATATTCAGTTGTATCCACCTCAGCAGTGTTCACTAATGACTTGGTTTTGTTTGCAATGAATAGACAACTGAGAATTGACAACTGTCTGAAGCTATCTTTAATTTTCTGTCTCTTTGATGGACAATGGTGACTTCTCTTCTTTTTTTTTTGGGCGGATGCTCTTCATAATTAAAATGCCTCTTCATTATCAGTGTTGTTATCTGTGAACTTAATTCCGCCCAGACCCATTGCAATACAGGGTGTTAGGAAAGTCCCTTACCCCCCCCCATCTAACTTTTAACCTAATGGAGGTAGAGATTTGAAACCTGGAGGACGTTCTTAGGTCAAAGGGAGCTACTTTTTGACCTCCCTGAAAGGGGGGGGGACGGACCCCAACTTTTTATTTTTAAATAGGAAGACCCCTCTTATGATACCTCGTTCGAAAGAGCATAAAAAAAGAAAACTTTTCGCGCAAACCCGAAGTCAATACCTTAAACCGTTTCAAAATGGCAGCCGGTTATAGGTCAAGATGGCCGAAAATTGAAACCTAGGTTTTTTGTTGATGGATTTGCCTGAAACTCGGGTGTATGGGGTTACAAGAAAAACGAATTTGACGTTAGATTTTCAAAAAAATCAAACTTGTCAAAATGACGGCTGGTTGAAATTTAAAGAGTCCGTTACCGCCCCCTCCCAAGGGAGCCCCTTGGAAATTCCAGGGGGGGGGGGGGTCAAAAAATAACACCCTTCGACCGAGGAACGTCCTCCAAGTCTCAAATCTCTACCCTAATTAGGTAAAAAGTTAGATGGGGGGGAGAGCACTTTTCTAACACCCTGTATGTGTATCTTTCTTTAGCCTTAAATTTCGGCTCTGGAGGTCAAGTCGAAGGTGGCTCAGGCAGCCAGCAACATCATTCAAAAATAATCTTGGACAATTTTTCCCAGGGTGTCTAGCATCAGGATTTTCCCGATTTTCCTGATCCTATCAGGATTTGAGGTCAATCAGGATTTAATCCCGATTTCATCAGGATTTGAAAAAAGTTGGTTGTCTGATCGGATTTTTTAATTGAGCTATTTTGGTGAAGTTACATTTGCCTCTTTTTCTCTGCAAAAAATCAGGATTTGAAAAAATTATAAAATCAGGATTTTGCAGTCAAAAATCAGGATTTTCCTTGGATTTCCCAAAATGACCTGACACCCTGTTCTTGATGCACCAGCTCAATATAGGATGTTAGACCTCATATATTTTAAAAGCATTTATGGTTGCGATGTCGAAAATATTAAAAAAAGCAAACATTCATCATCGTTGAATATTGGGTGACAAAGTATTCCACCTAGATTTATATCAGAGTGTGGCCAAAACTTTCTTTATACGAAATGTTTTGCATTAGGAGTCATAGCATGTTAAAGTAGCCACGACCCCCATTTCTACCCTGACAAAGTAAAGAATAGGGTGCCCTGAGTAACAGAAATTTCTAAAAATTATCCCTCCATGCTGTTTCCTGTTACTTTTGGTCCTAGTAAGAAGAATGAAGCAAAAAAGTTTGATTAGTCAATCTTACACCTTGCCCTTGAAGCTTTGAGGTTCACAGCAAAAATTCCCATTTACCTAGACTATCAAGGAAATGCCAAGGCATCTCAGCATTAAGGATTGAGAACTTAACCACGATTAGTCTAGTTTTCATAAATAATAAGATAAGATTGTGAGGGCTTTAGTCAGCTAGTCTCAAAACCAATAGCAATTTTAGTTATCTCAAGTCTAAGTAATTGATAATCTTTGATTTTGCCATTGAAGTATTGTGCTAAAACACTTTTTCTATTTGCAGCTACTTATTTCCTGACGGACGTAACGTAAATCCAGATCTATCGTGGGCTGTCCAGCCAACACCTGAAGACCATATTAAAGTAACTCAAGAACAATATGAGTTATATTGTGAAATGGGCTCAACGTTTCAATTGTGTAAAATCTGCGCTGAGAATGACAAAGATATCAGGATAGAACCTTGTGGTCACCTATTATGTACACCTTGTCTAACATCCTGGCAAGTGGTAAGTTTTCCTTTTTTTTCCTTTTTTTTATCTTTTTGGGTTATTGTTTTATGTAAAATTTTTATTGCACTATATTAGAGACTTACGGAAATAATATGACGGGCCTTGCTATGGGTAATTTGGCTATTTTAGCCCAAAAGTACCTTTAAATCGACTTTATTTTCCAGGAGCTCGACAAAATTTTTTTCTGTTTGACTTAAGTGACTCAGTAGACACTCTACTTCAAGAACCTGAAGAGTTTTTGCTTGTGACTCGTCACAAAATTTAAGCTCGTTCAGACGCACCGTTCCATGAGTAGTTGATATGTGCGTTTTGTCGCTGCAGGTTATTGTGAATCTTTTGGACAAATAAACAAATTGATTTATAAAGCTCAGCTACTTTAATCCGAAAAATAAGCTGACACAATCTTCTTCCCAATTGAAGCGTTTATTATGTAAATGTGTCAACGCTGGGGGAAAATATTGTAGGAGATAAGAGAAACTACACGGAAGGTGGTTAAGGATTACTTTTACCTCAAAAACTCAATTTTTATCAAATCCGACTTGGCACTTCTTCAAAATATCCACTTTAACTGAGGCACTTGGAGGACAGTGCACATAAGTGCAGTTTTTGCTATTTCGAAAAATACAGTTCAGAAGTTACGAAATTACATGGATCTTTGTGATGGAAAGAAAGTTCAAAGTGACTTTTTGATGCATAAAAATGGGAATTTTGGAGCGAATGTTTCACTGAAGATTCATTAAGAGCTCACTTTACTTCTATTGAAATTACTAATATCTGAATTTTATCAAAAACTGCACTACGCACCTTGTCTTCCAAGCACCATTGTCTCTTGGAGTTCGTAGAGGTAAAGTAGGTAAAGTAGACTTGTTAAATATTTGTATCGTATTTTGGCTTACTGTAATGAAAAAAGATATTTTAAGACACAAAAAAAGTTCTAAATTTTATGCAAATATTTTGTATAATTGTTTGATTTAAAAGGATTTTTTCTCTTGGAGTTTTGAACCTTCCTTTTGTGACCCTCCAAGCTGTGGAAGAGATTCTTCCTGTCTACTTCGTCTTCGGCGGCAGAGCTGTTAAAACCTTGAGCTAACTTGACACCTCACTCGGTATATCTGATAATTTTTAAATAAATTCCTCTTTCTATAAAAGCCTCCTTACGCTCGGACCTTTGATAAGTCTTGAGGAAGTCAGACGATTGGGAAATCGGAGAAAGTCATTCTCCCTGTGATGATTTTTCTTAAATCTAGGGAGGTAATGATGAAATTTATGACTTTGATTTCAGGATTCAGAAGGACAAGGATGTCCATTTTGCCGAACTGAAATTAAAGGGACTGAGCAGATAGTGGTAGACCCCTTTGATCCTAAGAGGAGTCATAAGGCAGGGAGTGGTGCTGCAAATGCAATTGCAAACGACAATGATGAAGCTGATGACGAGGTTCTTTAACTAATATTTTTCTGCTCGAAGCCATCTAATTGTCAACTCTTGCAAGATATGAAGCAACGATTCTCATATGTCCTCTTGGAGCGAGTGCAGATTTAATCAAGCAATTGCTTTATGAGAGCTGTGTCTTGTGTTGTTTTTCTTCTCAATCATAGAGCATCAAGCCCTTTTTTGAACGGTAAAGGAGGGGAGTGGATGAGGGACATTTTTTGGCCTACCCCGGATTCCTACAACTCCACTAGTTGCTGCTCATTGAAGATCTATTCAATGTAATAAATCATAATTTAACCATTAGAGACACTATCCAGATCTAATAGTGGCTTGAACATGTGTCTTAAGGAGGACTTCTGGGAATTCATACCGATCCCGAATTAAAGTGAACCTTTCACACCAATACATCCACTAAAAAGATTTTAAGCTCTGAATTGGCACTAAAAAATCTCCTACTAGTTGTATACTATACAAGTGCCTCCCTTTTTATTGTGCCATTGTCATCTAAGATGATATGATATCGTTCTACGTGGCAGGGGTAAGCAATGAAACTAACAGTAAGTAAGTTTTCATCGAATAGAAAAAAATTATATTTCTTTTCAACAAACCATGAAACTATCATTGCAGGCAGTTATTTAACAATAATCCCGTTTCCATTCCATTTTTGAGCGCCTAAAATATGCAGTGCACAATTTACTGATAACAACAGTAGATATATTCCCTGAACACAATCATAATGGCAGGCACATTTACAGAAAAGAACTATTGTCTTCATCATTAGAATAGAAGAGAACATCAGAATTTCTCTAATTATTTCTGGATTTAACATTAAGTATTCATACATCTAAATTTGTTTTAAATCACCAATGAATGTCAACCCTCTGCTCAAAAATGTCTTCTAGTTCTAAGTTCTAACTCCTCAGCAGAATTACTCATTTTATCCTTAATAAATTTCTGGAAGATTGATGTTTGACTGAAATCCGAATAATGTTTCTCACTGCAATGAATGCATTCTTATCTTATATGTTCGTCTCAGTGTTGCAGTCTCATGGTATTGCTGGCTTAGATTTTGGCAAAAAAAGCCGGACTTCAGCTGTCCAAGCCCCATTTCATACTGAGCCTCTGGAAGACGCAAAAAGTCCTTGAAGCAAATTAATAAGGAATGTCAAAGAGTCCCTTTGGTCAAATATAGTTGAAATCAAATCTTGCTCTCACAAAGAAGGGGGAAAAAACTTTTTGCAGTTATTCACCATCATTAAAAATGACTTAAAAAGAGTGACTTTACCTGCACCAGAGATGAATTTTTTCGGAAGGGTTAGTATTCAGATGGTCTGAAGTTTCTTCTAAGTATTTACTCTCGTGTGAAGCCCCTCAAAAAGCCAGTGTCATCATATTTTCTTGCCCAAACAAAGAGAAAATAAAGTTTTTTTGCTCTTGGGGGCTATTTTTCATTAAGCTAGGTTCAAAAATGTTATAGTTAGCTCTTTATAGTCATATTACTGCTAGTATTATATGCTGTTCTTGCGTTTTGGCTGTCGAAACTGATTTTGGGGCACTTACCTCTCCAAAATTCCAAACATGTCACGCTATCAATGAGGACTTTTCTGGGATGGACATAGGGGGTCGTAAGGACTCCCTATGCCAAGAATCAGCTTGTTATGAATTTTTTCTCTCAACTTTCATACAAGTCCTGGACTAGTTGCCTAAGAGGGAAGAATATAGTTTTTTGTCAATTTTAAGGGGTTTGAAGTAAAATTTTTAGGGTTTGCAACGTCAAAACAAACATCATTATTTGTAAGTATACTATGCAAAATCATGATAAAAAACAATTTGATGCCTGTAATTGCTGCTAACTACCTTTAAAAGTTGCGTTGAAAACGCTGAAAAGGAGAGTCTCAAAAATGCTCGCCCCGACTAAAAACGCGTAGAAAAATCATCTGATTTCGTTCAAATTTGGGGATATCAATTGTTTAATATAATGACACAATCCAACCATCGAACATCGATGATCCACATTTTTTTTTTGGATGTCTCAAATTTGGGACACTCTGATGTAAAGTCCTGAAATGACCAAATCATGATCCATTATGTAAAATTTAGATCTTTCATGAGCAGCAAATTGTCAAACTGTGGAAATCCGTGGTGGGCTCAAAAATGGCCTCGTGCGATACCCTTCCTTTACCATGGTTAATAATTTCTGCATTACTTTGCAGGGTAAAAGCCTAGTCAAAAAAAAAACTCATCGATGATCAGTGTCTCTTAGTGTTTACTCTGAATTTTTCTGTAAAGCAAAGCCTTCACAATTTGTAACAGAATTATTCTGAGAGAACAAGGTGTTTTATCACAGTTAGAAGAAATACATTTTCGTGAGTTAACAGATCCTAGGTCCTGTTGGAAGATTCGCAGAACATTTTTAGCATAATTTTTCTTAGTCTGTTTTATTTTTTCTGAAAGAATGCTTTCTTTACTATCATGTTTGAAATTCATGTTTTTTTTAAACTTAACAGGGTACCTATGAACAGAGGAAACTTCTAATTATTGGAGAGAGGTCCAGTGACAAAACTGTGCAAAACTAAGAGAAGAAAATTTTCTGAGTAGAGAATTGCATGCAGGAATGTACAATTTTTCGTTTGTTATCAGTGTAAGACTGGAAAAAAGAAAAAAACCCGGCATTTTTATGATTTACTAACAACTATGTCGCAAAGTCCTCATAGATAAGCCTATTTTCAATTTTAAGTCCAGGGCCAGAATTTTGTTGGTATATTTACAGTCGGCCCCAATTTAAGGCAACATTGTTGACTTTCTCATTCAATTGCTGATCAATGATTTGCACAGTTGAGGTATTAAGGATGGCTTTACTGAGCCTGCTTTGAAAGAAGCTCAACTTGCATACAGCTCCTGCTTGAGTTGTAATAAAATATTCCAAACTTATGCAAGGTGATCCAAAGTTCCTTCTACCCTCTTTAACTTTTTACCTAATTGAGGTAAAGATTTGAACCTCGGGTGATGTTATTAAGTCAAAGGAAACTATTTTTTGTCTTCCCTAAAATTTTCAGAGGCGCCTTCTAGGGGGCAATAGACCTCAACTTTTTTTCAAATTGAAAGATCCTCTCGTGATACCTCAGTCAAAAGAATATGAAAGAAAGAAACTTTTAGAGCAAACCCGAAGTCATTATCTCAAACCGTTTCAAAATGGCGCTCTATCAAAGTTCAAGATGACCGAAAATTAGCGCCGGTATTTTGTCAGTGGATTGGCGTGAAACTTGCCAAGTATTTGAAGGTATTTAGACACGAAGAAAATAAATTTGACTTTAGATTTGCATAGAAACAAAAAATTTTTAAAATGGCGACCAGTTGAAGTTCAAAATGGTCGAAAATTGACTCCTCGATTTTTGCCGATAGATTTGCCTAATATTTAAAATAGCAGGGTATTTTGGCGCAGAAAAACGAATTTCAAGTCGGATTTTTGTAAAAATCAATTTTCGGCCATTTTGATAAATTCAGGTCTGTTTATTAAAACTAAACGTGAATTTCTTTTTAATCGTGTCAAAGTATCTGTGCGATACGGATTATCAAGCAAATTCATCGACAAAAAACGGGAAAGCCACTTTTCGGACACTTTAAACTTTAACTGGCTGCCATTTGAAAACGGTTTGAGCTATTGCCTTCGAGTTTGCACCAAAAGTCTACTTTTTTATGCTCTTTCGATTGAGGTACCACAATACGGATCTTTCTGTTTGAAAAAAAAAGTTGGGGTTGTTACCTACCCCTTAAGGGTGCCCATCCAAAAATTTTAGCCCTTTTAGACCAAGGAACATCCCTCTACTTTTAATAGTGTATTTTCCGAAGAAAATACATTATTGCATTCTCCCATGGTGTCGGACCCAGACCTGAGACATTGTGAAGAGGACGGATCATGGGTCGTAGATCACGAAAATATATGCCCTTCAAATTCATGTACATATACATATATATATAAGTAAAGAGTTCACGGTTGTAATAATTAATAATTAAACAAAAATCACGAGTACTTTCCAACCTTTTTATTACATTTGCAATCTTCACACTACATCTTAAACACCGACGTTTCGGAGACAATTTTCTCCATCTTCAGGGCAGACGAACCTTATTCATAACTGAACGAGGAAAAACATGTTTTTTCCTCGGAAAAAGGAAGTGGCAGATGGGTCGGTTTTCTTTAGATATGATATGATTGTGAGTGAAAAAAAGTGACCTATCCTGATATATGTATGTATGTACGTATGTATGTATGCACATGTGTATGTATGGTTGGTTGGTATATACGTTTATTTGGTGCTTTTAACAATAGAGCCATTAACACCTTAGAGGAGAGATCAAAATATAGTACAGAATTTAAAAATTTAAAAAGTAGGGGTCACAAAAGGTAGTACAAAATTAAAAGTTAGGACAAGGAATGAATACATTAAATTTGGAGATTAATTCGTTTGAAAAATAGAGGAATTTCACGAAAATACTTTGAAAGGATGGTATGGAGATCAGAAAGTGGAGGGAAAATTTTGGATCTTAATTGGTGATATGTAGGGCTATGCACATGCGTATGTATGTATGTATGCATTTATTTCAGCCCTTTTAAGATTTTTCGATTTTTGAGTAGTTGTATCTTCCTTACGTTGAAAGATATTTTGACCAACTTTTTTGAATTTAGTAGAGACTCATTAGAACTACTATTCTGCGAAAAAAAATCAAAATTTGAGGCAGTAGATTTTGAGGGGTGAGCTTGAAAGGGGGGGGAAGGTCAAATTATGTCCACTTGATAACTCGAGTTAAAATGAATATTTTGAGCTGAAATTTTCAAGGATGATAGTTTGCCCCTAGAACTGGTTTGATGATGAATTTGAGCAAAATCGGGCGAGCCGTTTAAAAATGGCGAGCTTTGAAAGTTTTGAGCAAAGCGGAGCGCTAGTTTTTTTAATCTTTACCTTATCAAGATGAAAAGTGGGTAGTAAGTGGAAGGGGCGTTTGGATCACCCTGTAGTTGAATTTATAATAGGTTAAGTTTCTCGATTGCAGTTGACAAGGTTCAACAAAATTCATGGGCCCTTCAATGTGTTGATGAATGTTCAGAAAATTTCACCTAAACCTTGTCATTGTCTTCACAAAAAGTGCTAATTTTATTTCCAACCTTTGCATGTTTTCGATATTGCATCGAGATACGGAAAACATTTTTTATATTTTTTCCTTAACTGAAATTAGAGAAAGTGAAGAAGCTCCTGAGGTCGAAGACAGCTGTCTTTTCAGGTCAATGATTTATTTTCATGTTCTCCGTTTATTTCTCATTATCCTTGTGAAGTTTAAGTACTTTTTACCAGAAGGATGTAGTTCTCTCTCAGTAAGAGTATTACTTCTACATATGAAAAGAAAGCTGGAAGCGAAATCCCTAGGGAGACGTGCCGAAGTATTGAGTTATATTGGTTATCAGACAAGGACCAGTTAGTGCTAGTCTTTCTTCCTACGAATTAGAGCATTATCTAATGATAAAAATGTATTAAACTGGTACGTTGTCATCATGTTAAAATTCATTATCAGACACCTTGCCTGACAAGTATGATTTAACATTCTTTTTACAAATTAGGGTCCAGAATTGATAGATTATATATTTTACCCACATAGAATCCTGAAATTTAATTTTGGGTAAAATCTAAATCGGTTTCTAGTCTCTTCGAAATTTTACTTTCTGTAAATTATTTTTCCTTTCCTGAACAAATTTTAATACTACAACTCGTGTTATCATTTCTTCTCTTGTCCTCTCAATCACGTAACCCTGAAGAGAGGAAAATTTGCTCTTGTATTAGCTTTTGACTTGTGTATCTATCCTGTTGATATGTATCCATCATTATCATTTTTTGTTAATGAACTGTGTAATCTGTACATATGAATCAATATTTTATTTAAAAAATTTGACCACTTGTCAGTCAACTTGTAAAAATCACTAGTATGTATTAAGAATTGTGAAGAATACGTCATTTATGTGATAGTTTTCTAAAAAGTGTTCTCTCCTCAACTTTTTTGTTATCTTTACTGCAATCGTCGATAAAGAGATGTACAAGTAGTCTAACAGGTATTCGATTTTGCTGACAAATGTTTAAAACGTTAGTTTTCTCTCTGCTCGTACTTGAGCACCTACTCAAATATCAGTTCAATGCAAGATTTTTCTCTTAGGCAAGCAATCTCTTTGTCTCAAAGCAGCCACTTATTTAACCATCCATCCAAATTCACAAAACCATCATTCCTTTCTCCTTCATTTTTCCTCATTTTCCAGGATTCTTTGCTGTCTCGTTTTCTGTGGAAATTACAAGTTAATGATTTTTGCTCCCATCTAGACGGTTTTTCAAGGAATCATCTTGAACTTTAAAAGAGAGCACTATGACCCCCAGGTCATAATGCTCTCTTAATACCCATAATGCCCATAATACTCTTAATACCCATATTAAACACAGTTTCATGTGAAAACATTGAGACTATCAAGGCAAACCGGGGCTCCTAAACCATAAATCTCTTTTAGGAAAGGCCTTATGTTGGATCCAAGGTCATGGTGACTGATGAGCTCTATGTCCGTAGATGAACATGTGGCAAAGCTACAAATCCGTCTTCTTTAAGCCTCTTCACAGTTCTAGGTACTAAAGGTGGTTTAAAATGTAAGTAAACTTCTTTAGTTAGTGCAAGGATTGAGAAACTCATGGTGAATCTATGACTGCATTTTTGGAAATTAGGTATGATGCGAATGAAAAGTCATCAAGATCCTTTGATTCAAGTGAACATACTAACACTGAGCAGATTAAAAGTCACCCAGCAGTGAATGTGAATATATTTCCTCTCAAACAAACACATTTTCAATATGGCACCTAGATATGTAGTAAATATGTATGTGATACAAAATCAAAAGCAACAAATAAAGCAAGTTTATACAATGTTTGAATACTGTACTTTATATGTACTTTTAAGTATTTTATACATATTTGCATACATATTTTTTCTGCATCTTGTTTTGTATTTTTTACGGTATTTTGGCTACTGAGGGCACAACATCGCACTCAGAGAATGGTGGAGAATGTCAAATGCCGTGTTCTTGATTAGACCAGATTAAAACTAAGTTAAAGGTAGTGATTTGGAACGAGAAAATAAAACTTGCTGTTAATTCTCACTTAAATTGACAGTTTTTCCCCCAAGAGCAGTGGAATAACGGCAGGAAATATTCATTTTTCCACTTTGTACTTGGCATACTGTGAATGACTAAATTCATATTAGATTATTCTAAGGCATTTTTATGAAATCGTTCTGAGGAATTTTTTTTAGTAATGAAAGGGTTTTCCTCAGACTTAATGAAACATCTTTGAATTCTTAGAAGTACAAAAAATACTGCAGTTTGTTGGAGGTCTCTATCTTCAACAATACAATTGACCATCAATTCAAGCTTTCAACCGTAAATGTTTCTATAACAAATAAAAACTGTGCAACACTATAATGCCAAAAAGACTTTGAATGTTAAAAATTTCAATAGAGGGTTTTGTCATCATGAGATTCCATTCAGGACTGATTTGAGCCAAAGTCTCAAGTTCCCAAAAAGGGACACTTTTTGAGGAGGCTCATAATATAGTAATTAGCATAATGGTTGAAAATGATGGAAGATGCAAAAAGAAGTATGTGATAACGATCACAACCGAAAATAGTTTTGAACCATCTTGTAATCTAGTTGTGCTCAACTGCTGCACAGTTTTCTTCTCTTAAATCCTATCATGTTTATTCTTTATGTCATGCATGATAACCCAGAAGAATCTTGACGCCATATTCATTTGTACATAAAGATTTTCACAAGTAACTTTATTTAAAGGAAAGTTATAACTGTGCCAATGTGAGTATTTGCGCTCATGAGCTTAGATTTCTAGTTATAATTTATTTATTTTTCCTCTACTATAATTTCTAAAGTATATTTCCGGATACTCGGCTAATAACACAAACCGCTTAAGATAAAAATTTCTTTCCCCTGTTTCCTGTTCAATCATCTTTTGTAAAGGAAGTTTTTTATTTATCTTAATGGTCCGTTTTGCACCAAAGACTGCTTTCGGGGAATGGCAGCATCAGAGTTCATAGAAATTTTCGTCCAAACAATTAGGTGGAAAATTATTAGGTGCTCAAGCAGTGGTTGGTCAGAAATAGAGGAGACTTTCTCATCCTGAAAGTTAAGCCATTGTACAAAAATTGTCTCTGTTGATTTTCTTCATAATATTGGTAGTTGACACATACAGTGTGGATTTTACGGACCTGTCCTTAAAAGATACAATGAGTGAAATGTAGTTGAGGTCAAGATGGATAAAAACTGAATGTTATTCATCTTCTCATCTTCTAGCGCATGGATTAATCAGTCAAAAATCCTTATTTATGTCAACTAGTACAGCTAGCAAATTTTGCTGAAATTTTTCATGGGATCATCTACCCCTCTAGAAATCTGGTGTTATGATAAGTCCACATACATGGTTCCAAAGTCTCTGGGAAAGGAGAAGAGGATAGGACCAAGCTCCCCACCCAGGACTTCTGGCTATAGCATATCTCTGTAATTGGACCCGAAGTTTCACACACACCGTGTAATAATTGAATTTATTTGAAAAAGGCTAACTTTACTTTTTTAAATTTATCAGGAGGGCGAAAAAACTTGTTAGGAAGCAACCAAATGGTGAAATTTCGCGACTAAAGGTTGCATGACATCTGTGTGATTGCAAGAAGTAAATTTATAGTGAAAAAAGGACATTTTTATGAATATGGAGCTGAGAAGGGGAAAAAGATTGAAATGAAGATGGCCCCTGTTTTAAAGTATCAGTAGTTTTTGATATTTAATTCTGAAATTTTTTAATGTAAGGATTTCTCAATTGTTCGGAATTCTGCCCTGAAAATATCATTTCAGTGTTCAAACTGTGACAGTAGAGCACATATTGCTGTGTGACAAACCATGTATCTATCCCAAAATTGATTTGCCTATCTGCTAGAAGTAAATTCCTGAGGAAACTCAATTTGTCGAAATTTTAAGTAGATCCTTTTTCATATTTACCGTTTCACATGGTTGCCTGATTTATTTTATAACCTATTAATACTTTACCTTTCTCTGTTATTGTACTTAAAATTAATGAAGCAGATAAAATAATTTAG